AGGAGAGGCAGGCCAGAGGTGTTTTGTCTGAGATGTAGCAACATCCTCAGTCCACCCAGATTTGCCCCCACACACCCTGTTTTGTTTTGTTYTGTGCTGCTGTGGGCACCATCTAACCCCTGCCTTGCACTCTCTCTCCAGGCTATAAAATCCCTGTCATTGAGAACTTGGGTGCCACTCTGGACCAGTTTGATGCAATTGATTTCTCTGACAACGAGATCCGCAAACTGGACGGATTCCCCCTGCTACGGAGGCTGAAAACTCTCCTGATGAATAACAACAGGATTTGGTGAGGAGCTGTAGTTTGGCCAGATGGGACCCTGGGGCAGAGGAAAATGCACTTGGGAGAGAAGCGTGTGTGTCTTTCAGTGCTGGCTAGGTGCAGAAGTGTTTGTTTTATGGCAATGCAATCAGCACTGAGTGCTCTATGGGCCCTCTTTCAGTTTTCTTCCTCATTCAGTCCAAAAATCTTGTTTTTTTCTTAGCCAGGACAATGACRTGCAGAGTTTGGGATTTGGCCAGAACTTGGATTTCAATAACCAGCTCCATGTAGATAAGAAAACAGGGATACCTGCAAAGGAATGGATTTAAATCTCATATTGCATCSAATATTCTTGCAGTGATTTATTGTCAGTTTTATTAGAAAAGTGTTGTGCTCACCCAAACTTCTGCCAGTGTCAGACTGGGTTTTTCACARGGAGATCTTCTATGTGTTTCTCTGTGTATTTCCACTTTTGTGAATTCCTGCCCTAAATGAAACCTTTGGTTTTTGTTGTTCTTCAGTCGGATTGGTGAGAACCTGGAACAGGCTCTGCCCAGCCTCACAGAGCTCATTCTTACCAACAACAACATTGCTGAACTGGTAAGCTGTAATTCACAATAAAGCTAAACAAGCTTAAAATTTGTGGTTTTCATCTCTCTAATTAACCMTTTTCCAGAGAGAAGTGCCATATTCTTTTGGTAATAGTTGGTTCTTTCTCTTCAGAGTAATACACAGTTTTGGCAGTGGTTAATGCTGTATGTACTTTAATGAACAAGATTTGCATATGCAATGAAACATCAGTCACAAAGCTTAGTGGGTTTCCTGTTAAAATAATTGCAGTGATTCTAATTAGTCTCTAAAATAGATGTGAGTTCAAGACCTTTGTTTTCAAATATTTGATTTTATCACTAAACGGACTTAAAATTTCTTCCTGTGCTCCCTTTACCCAGGGTGAACTGGATCCATTATCAACTATTAAATCATTGACTTACCTGAGGTATGTAACCCTAAAAAGAAAAGCTGCTCTTCCTCTGGTGTTTGACCTCTGCTGTTGGCCTGGCCCTTTGCTGTGCTCTGCTTTTTATGAGCTGTGACCTAAAAATTGAATGGATAAACAATGTTTCCACTATGCTTCATAAACATATCTGTTTAATGCCTGAGAGTTTATGTCACTGACAAGCTGTTGAGACAATGAAATGTAGTATCTCTGGAAACCAACATGAACRTGCTGAAGGGAACCTTTAATAATCATTAAAAACCCAAACTCAAAACGTTTAAAGTGTTGTTAAAAAATACTTCAAAATACATGTAACAAGGACTTTTCAGTAACATAGCACTTGGTGTGAGGGACAAAAACAAAAGCAGTTTGTCCTTTGATTTTTCAGTTGATCAATGTAGGAAAAGTGATGGTTCAGTTACTGTTTTGGGGATTATTACGATTATTTCGATTATTTTTAGCTTGTTCTTATTGTTACCCTTCAATTAAGTCTACTTAATTGCCAAAATACAAGTTTTTAYTATAGCWTCCATAATATCAAAGAACTGTCACTAGGCTTATTTCATGGTGTCATTTGTTGTCTGTTACAGCAGGAAGTACATTGAATGCATTTCAAGTAGATTAATATATTTCAATACAAGTGTATTTTAAAATACTTKATATTAAGAGCCTCTTTATAACCTTTATTTACTTCACAGCGTTCTAAGGAATCCTGTAACAAATAAGAAACATTACAGATTATATCTAATTCATAAAGTTCCCCAGGTCAGAGTGCTGGATTTTCAAAAAGTGAAGCTCAAAGTAAGTTTGCTTGCTTTTGATTTAGCTTTTTTCTTTTTTTTTTTTTTTTTGCATTCATGAAAATTCATCACTAACAGTGATCTTGTTGCCATNTTTTTTTTTTTTTTTTTTTTTTTTTTTTTTTTTTTTTTTTGGCATTCTTGAAAATTCATCACTAACAGTGATCTTGTTGCCATAGTTGTAAATTTTATTGAAACTCTGTAAGTGGCTCAAAAACACTCTTACTGTTTTCTTTCATGCTTTCATTCTGTTAAGGATATAACCTGTTTAATTATGTTTAGTTAAGTTTTACTTGACTGTGTTACTCTTTTCTGGGGTGTTGGTAGAAAGGAGCAAACACCACAGCCCTCAGCTCKTGGTGCAGATGAGCATGGGAAAAGAGCTCTTAATTTTAAGAGCATGAGGTTGATACRTTTTTGAGTGTTTGTGCAGTGTTTATCTGCTTGTTCTCACATCTGGTCTCCRTGTACCAATTTCACTGATGAAGATGAGCCAAAGTGTCTTGGCTGAGACACAAACTTTGCAAACTGTGATGTTCTCAAATTAACTTTGTGTGTGTGTGGTATCGCTGTAGGAGCGACAGGAGGCAGAGAAAATGTTCAAGGGCAAACGGGGTGCACAGCTTGCAAAGGATATTGCCAGGAGAGCCAAAACGTAAGATAAAACAAACAAATTTACACTGGCATCCTCCTTCAGAAACACCACTTTCTTTGTTGCAGTATCAGGCAGAAAACTGAAATATCAGCTGCTGGCAGGATGCCTCAAAAGCTTGGGGACTCAGAAGTACCTTGTCCAAGCACTCCGAGTTTTGGATGGTGGTGAATACATCTCAGAAATATTTCTGAGAGAGATAACTTGGTCAGGGTRGATTCATTGAAGTCACCAAGCAGAAGACCGTAATTTTATTTTTGTTTTTATTAATTAAGTGTGCAGAGGTGGCCATTGTTTGATTTGTGTTTGGTGTTTTTTTCCCCCTACATGATTGGTAACAATTCTTTTGTTATGCCTGGGAATATAAACTGTGAAATCTGCTGTAATTAGGAAGTGAAATGCAGATGAAAATCTTTAGTTTAGCTATTGCAGTCTATGCTTATTTAGTTWAATTCTTAAGTGGTACATCATATGTTTTGTTTAATCTTGGTTCAACCTATTTGTAAATAAGAATTCAGATAATGTTTGGCAACTGCATTTCCAAATTCATAGTTAAATAGAAAAATGTCATGAACTTATTTAGCATTTAAAGCTATAATAGATGGATTTAAACTCCAGTTTGTGAGTGGAAAGGGATTCAGGTCTGTGACAGTGTTAGAATGAAAATATGATTTTACTTAAAGCGGCAGCAGCACATAAGCTTTACTTTTGAGTTAAGATGAATTGCAGTATAGTGTAGGCTTAAATTAGGCTAATGTAATATCAGACAGATGGGAACAGAACCCCATTTTCAGCTACTCTTTATCCACCCTGCTTTTGTAATGCCATCAGAGCAGCTGAGTGTTCAACAACATCCAAATCGAAGAGCTTTTGTCAACTGCCTGATGAATGAAATTCTGCCTGTGAGCAGATGCAAAGGTGCGGGGTGGGAATGGGACAGGGAGGACAAGTTGCTGGTGTTTCTGAAGGAGGCAATTCTTCACTGTATCAGTTTGTTAACAAAGATAAGATACTACACTTGATGGAATGAAATGCTTCCAAACCTAGTTTGGAAGCATTTCAAGTTAAGAGAAGCAGCTGCTCTTCAAAAGGTGTAACAGSTCTTTATTTTTCCTTTAAAGCTTCAATCCAGGGGCTGGTCTGCCAACTGACAAAAAGAAAACTGGGCCCTCCCCAGGGGATGTGGAGGCAATTAAGGTAAATATGTCATGGAGGAGAAAAGCTGTCATGGATCCAAATTGAACAAATGTTTCCTTTGTCCTGTTCTGACAAATAGATCAGTGTGTTCTGGCTTTGGCTTAGGYGCTTTTTCTGTAATTTTTCKTCTGAACTGTTTTTTTAAAACTTAAACAAAACATTAACCTGAGCTTAGAGTTCTTCCAGGATAAAGCAGTTTCTTTAATAAGGGGGGAAGTAATGGTTTGTCATTTGTAGAATTTTCTAGAACTAGAATTTAGTAGAATTTCACAGGTTTTCAGTGTCACTTAAATGAAAGAAATTTGGGGCTTGTGTTTATCCTAAGCAGAGCGAGAGAGTATTTGAGGATTCACTGAGTTCTCTGTTTCTCAGACTGCCATAGCAAACGCCACGACCTTGGCTGAGGTGGAGCGGCTGAAGGGTTTGCTGCAGGCTGGACAGATCCCYGGCAGAGAGCGCAAATCAGGTCACTCTCTACTTCTGTTACTCTTCTCTCCCAGACAGCATCCACCTCTCTTCCTCGCTTCCTGATGCTTTATGTCATCTCTGGGGGGGGKTTTGTGGAAAAAGTGTCACTTGATCATCTGTGGAGCACACCTCTGGCTCTCTGTGATCTGCCTGGCCTTCAGGGTAGCTCAGGACTGTCATTTGCACTCTCTCCAGAGCAAGGTGCCAAACAAGGTGCTTTGCTGTATTTAGATGACTCCWGAGTTCATACCAGTTATTTTAAAAAAAGAGCTTTATTACAAAGTCACTCCGGACTTGTGTGCCTTGGGTGTGGGTCCAGCAGTGAGTCTGGATCTCTGCCAGGATGAATCTCAGCTGCAGGCTGACTACAGCACCTGTCTTCTGTACCTTGGGGCTACTGGGATTTTCCTTTCTGCAGAGTTTCTAAGAGTTCCCGTTATTAACTCCTCTGCAGAGGGGTGGGAAAAGAACAGTAACGTCTGAGCAACCGCCCTAAAACTCTGACGTGTCCTTTCAGGCCCATCGGAGGACGGCGAAGAAGAAATGGAAGAAGACACGGTGCCAAATGGATCGTAGCCCGGGCTGTGCCTCGCTCCGGGCTCCCCAGGAGCCCTTTGCTGTCCCATGSCGTGCCGGTGTCCCCGGCGGGGCCCCATCGCCCCCGTCCTCGCGCATTTCGGCGTTCAATAAACGAACGGTCCCTTTTTCTCCCGCTGCTGCCGCGTCCCCTGCTCGGCCGGTAGCGGGCTGGGGGCGGGACTGGAGGGGCGGAGCGCACTCTGATTGGTCCCTTGTTCCTGCCCCCTTCTCTTATTGGCTGGCGCAACCGTCACGTCATCTCGTGCACTCCGCCAGCGGCGGCGCGGCGCTTCCGGGCGGCGGACGGGGCGGTGATTGGCGGAGCGGGGCGGGCCCGGACGTGAGGCGGCGGCGGACGGGGCGGTGATTGGCGGAGCGGGG